CCCCCCACCCCACCCCCCACCCCACCCCCCCTCCCGCCCCGCCCCACGTGTCCTGACAGGGCACGCGACAGAATTATCAATCAAGTTAGCAAAATCTTAGGAACAGTACATGGCCCGATACGCGCGTGTAGGGGCTTAGGGCTACTGCAATAGCCCGCCTGCAGCAGACCGGTGACGCATGGGGCCACCATGTCGATATCGGTGGTTCTGGAAGGAATTACCCAAACCCGGGATGTCCACGCATGACTGGCATCGAAAGCCCTTGCTGGGTCTATTGTCCATGGAGGGGTTTGCTTCTAATGCTCTCTGCCATTGCTCGTGTGTGTGATGTCCCAGTACCAAGCTCCGAACTCGAATGCCATGCCAACCTTGAGCGAGAATGTGAGTCGAAACCCCCGAAAAAGATCGGAAGCCAAACCCCAAAGTTGGGTGGCAAACTCGCAAGCACCTTACAAGGCCGAAAGCTAAGCTCTAATCTAAACCCGAAAATGTCCGTGAAAATGAACTTGTTCGTTTTTTTTTCGAACCCTTAACCCTCAAAGCAGACATTGCATGGCAAACCCTACACCGTCAAAGGTTGTAAGCGCCGTGTGGAAACCTTCAAACCAAACCCTAAAAGAGGGGATTGGGGGCAAGCGGGCAAGCCCCAGAACGCCGTGAAACGTTCAAGCCAGACCCGAAACCAAAAAAGACCGTAAAACAAGCCCTAAGCCCTTAACCCGAAAGTGTCGTGAGCGACACCCAAAACCTTAAATGAAGCCGTGATCGCAAACCTCAAACCGTAAACGGCTGTACATGTTGGGTGGAAAACCTTCAATCCAAACCCTGAAACCTTACGTGTCAAAACCTAAAAAAGGTTATTGGGTGGGAAAAAAGTCGTAAACTAAACCTTCCAGACGCTGGAACAATTTGGCCCGCGCATAGACGAGCAGACAAGGATTCTGCATAAAGTCGAAGGGATGAATGAGACATATTTTGCCAGAACGCGAGCTTCCATATCGATCTCATGCTGGCACGCAACACTGGTAATATCCTGATGTGGGCTTCCAACGTTTAGGGCTACTGCAATAGCCCGCCTGCAGCAGAAGGGTGACGCTTGGGACCACCATGTCGATATCGGTGGTTCTGGAAGGAATTACCCAAACCCGGGATGTCCAAGGAGGGGTTTGCTTCTTGGTCGGAACTGGTCGTAGCTGGTTGGTGATGCTCTCTGCCATTGCTCGTGTGTGTGATGTCCCGATACCAAGCTCCGAACTCGAACGCCATGCCAACCTTGTGCGATTGGGTGGCAAACCCCTTCAATGGCCGTAAACCACGCCTTAAATACGAAATTCAAATATTGTTTATTGCAAACCCAAAACCCTAAAATAATTATAATTGCCGTCTGATTAAACCTTGCGTGCCGAAACCCAAAAAAGAGGATAAAAGGTGGCAACCCCTGAAAAGATTTTAAATTCAATCCTCAAGACTACAATTGCGGGTGCGGCCAAACCTATAATTTCTTATTATTCGATATAAATTTTGGAATAGAGAATATATAAGCGCTATACATAATTGAAAGAATATTCTTAATAATAAGATTTAAAAAAATATTTCATTTTTAATAAGAAATATAATCTTAATTAGAATCTTAAGAATATATAAATGAATTATTTCGATATATATATATTTTGACTATATATTTTGATATATTTGTCTCGAATATATAAATTAATATATTTTAATATTTGAAAATTTATTATTAAGTTTTGAATTCATATTATTTATTAGTTCGTGGTTAAAGTCATTATTTATAATTATTTAAAATAAAATAAATAATGATAGTAAAAAACTAAAAATTAAGATTTTATTGATTAAATGGTTTTATAGATATCAAAAAATATTTAATTATCGCTATATAATGATTTATATAATTTGAGAGATTAATTATTATAAAATAATTTAAATAATTTCTGATTTTAGATATTCGTAAAAATTTATTTTTGGTATCTATTTGAAAAAAAATTCGAAAAAAATATTAAATAAATACTAAGAAAAAATAAATGCAGCAAAAATAATTGTTTGCAGGAGAAAGAATCGGACTCATTTCTAAGAGAAATAATAAATTTAGAGCCGAAACTTTTAAAATAGAAGAGCCAGAAATATAATATAATTAGTTTCCGAGTAATTTGTAGAATTCATAGTAAAGTCCTAAATATGAAATAAAAAATTTTGATTATATATTTCAACCCTTATCTCATTAGATTTGAAACTAAAACTCGAAACTAGAACCCGAAACTAATACTAAATCCTAATCTTTCAAATTTATATATCTATTCCGAATCGGCAAATTAATAAAAATCTAAATCATAGACTCGAAATATCTATATATTTAAATATTTGCTTCTAAAAGAAATATAGATTTTATATTCGTTTTCAGAATAGTATCAATTCTATATATAATACTAAATGTCGTGAAATATAATCCCTATAAAAAGATACTAAGACGTAATTTATAGTGGCGTGTACAACCCACTCTTTTCCGAGGACACATATAATTAATATTACCGAATATAATATATATATTTTTATTTTATATAAATTCAAATTTCATAATATATTATAATTCTATAAATCAACATTTAATATTTAGAACGTATATATCAAATTTGAGATTTTTAGTTAATTAATATTATTAATATTATGATTCTAAATAATAAATAAATAGAAAGATCTATTTTCAAATATATTATTAAATCTAATAAAATATAGACGCCCATACCTGGATTAAAAGAAGTAATAAAATTTCGAAATTTTTATTTAGATATATATTTTGGGACCGCGAGCATGCCTACCAAAAATCTTTTACTAACGAAATCATTATTTATGAAAATTTCATCCATATTTTCTCTCGCAATAGAATCAAATATTGGAGATATTTTCGGCTCTCCAAGCTCAGCAAATCAAATTCGGCTTTACAATCAACAAGTTGCTAGTTTGGCATCTTGTTCACCATACTTCCTTCTCATTGACGATCGCCAAATAATCTGCCCAAATCCAGTCCTCGGCTTTTCACAACAGGATTGGGTTCGCTGTGAAATGACAACGGCTGCAGTGTACATAATTAGTCTAAATCCGTGGTCCCCTGCAAACCAAATGTCTCAAGGCTCTGCCGCGATCAGTGGCCTGTCCCACCTTGCCACGGGCGCCAGGCTTCGACAACAGAGTGGAACAGAGCGCAACAGTTTGCAAGATTTCGAAGACTCTATGCTGCCTAGAAGAGATGGAAGAGGATTCCGAATCGGCGGAGGCGGAGGTGCGTTGCGTAGATCCTTCTGTAGGAACTTCCTCATGTTGTAGTAGGGCCGGAGCTTGACGTTGCTGTGAGATGAAAGTAGGAACTTGCCCATGAGCTCATCTGAACCCTCCAGCTCCTCTACACTGCCCACGTCATTCTCGATGAACCTTTCGCGATTTTTGCAGCATGAGGTGTCAAGGATGTTCGCAGGTCTTGAGGTTTCGATGCTGCAGACATACAAAACATAAAAGAAGCTGGCAACCAACCGCAAAGGCAGCATCAAGGACCTAGTAACCAGGTGGACACGTGCTCAAGAGCGGACGGAAAGTCTGCGAGGTCTGCATGGTCTGCAAACTTTTCGAAGGTGCCGATCTTGGTCTTTGCATGCACGACCGCGTCGCTGAAGCACTTCATTGACAGCCCTATTTGCACGCAGTTCTTGGCCGAGTCGTGGCAATCATCGTTGCTCGCACAACTGCAACCTGAAGGCAGGTCCATACCAACAGACTCAGAGTGCTAGGCAACTTGTCAACAACTTAGGGTGTTTGGGGTCAGTTCAGTCCAAGAACCCACTCCGTCGCACTTGGCCTTTTTTGTACGCAGGGCACGACCGGAAGGAAGAGAAAATGACTGCTGGGCGGCGGCACCAACCACCAAAGCAAACAGGAACGCTGCAGGCGACAATGCCATCTTGCGTGGCGTCTTCCAAAAGACCGAGTAGTACCGTGTTCAACTATCACATGCTTTCATTGGAACCATCTGAACACAACGCTATACGAATACATCGCCGCCGGCTGCTTGAAAAGGAAGCGCGCGGTGCATCACGTCGCACAGTGGTCCAGTGAACGCATCTGAAACGATTCCAACACGGGAGAAGGCGTTCTCCAAATCAGGGTTGGTATCACAAATGAAGTAGAGAGCGAAGCTCTAGCGGAGGATTGCAGTATCAGAGGATCACCCAAAGCTATGAAAGCGCAGTGGCTGCAATGCCATCTTGTTCAGCCGCGGAATCTCGGGCTCATGCCTCACTCGTTATTCCCAGGCCATGGTTGCCGCAAGTCCAGGTTCTAGTGAGCGGGATCAACATCCAGAAGTCAAGAGTCGCAAACCCAAAGGCCCCAAAGATAACCTTAAAGCAAAAGCTCCTGTTTTACCGCAGCCCTTGCATCCTGTCTGCGATGGACCAGTCGAGGCCGAGCTGGCAAAGGGCAAAGCTGAAGATTCCAAACTCGTTGCGTTTTCGTGTTTTCAGCTTCGTCGTTCTGGCTGGAGAAAATGTTACAGACTTTTGCAGACCCTCGCAGTGCGTTGCTGCAAACTGCAAAGTACACTTGCGTCCCCGCAGATTCAACTCCCGGCCGTGGCCTCTTCAACGAAGAGGTTGGCGTGTTCTGCAACCTTTCAAACATCCCGCACTTCCGATCAGACTCTTTGCTCGGACTGCCTTGCAACTCGGTAAGACTGTTGAAAAATCTGCGGTGGCCTGAAGCTTGGAGACTTCTTGCAAGCAGCCCTCACATGAAATCCAGAAACAAGCCTGTGGGATGCCCCCGGCCTCCCGCACAGAGACGGCACCGTTCTCCTCCGCCCAATGGGCGATCTGTGCTGCCTTTCATCGAAACTTTTGCTCCGCAGCTTGCCAGGCCTTTGTCTTCGAACCTCATCTCTACATGCATAGCTGCATTAACCTTACCAGCGGTTCTTTCCGAGACCGGGTGCATCGACCGAAGGCTTCTCACATCCCCATTGTGTTGTAAGTTCCACTGGCTAGGTTGGGGAGTGTCTGATGGCGTGGGCAGGGTTGGCTTGTATCCTGTTCGCGGGGGCATCGGGTACTAATGCATTCTCAAAGGACTGGGCGTGTTGTGCTTTTGGGGCGACCGTCTGCCGGGGGTTCCATAGCAAAGGTGCAGGCCCGAAACTAGCAATGATTGTTCGGAAATGCACTTGAAACATGTCCTTTGCCGCACCTCAGAATGCTATGTCACACATAGGCCACGGCAGCGACAAGAGCAAGACTGTTATCATTCCAAGGCACTGTGATGAAGTTCATACACGATTTTCAGTGTACCGCAAGTATCCGAATGGGACAGAATACTGTACAGCTGAGCAGTTTTTTGGGATATCAACTGTTGTTTCGCATTTGTCCCGATGTCACATACCACAACTAACTTGTTGTTTGGTGTAGTGAGTGGCCGCATTCCCCTGTTGCGCCAATGGCCAACTTTTGTTGGACTCTTGTGCTCTCAATGTCCTTGCTGGCTAGCAATGCTTTTAGTAATATGCTGCAGGCCAACACTATACAGCTGGCTGGCAGACAGGTTGTTGCAAAAGAGAGAGTGGCCTCAACTCTCAGAGAGCTGTTGTCGGCGGGAGGCAAGTTGACTCGTCAACAAGTTTCTGTCAAAGTGCATGCTGCTATGACTGAAGCTCTGGCAGACGACGCTCCAGTCAGCAACCCTGTGCATGAGCCGTTCATGGGAATTTTTTATGCTTGTCGAGCGTGCCAGCTGGTCGGAAATCACTGTTCAGTGGATCGGCTGCCCGGCATGCAAGGAATCATGGCTGTGGATTTAGATGAAAGCAGGGTAGCAAACGCAAGCGACAGTGTGGCTGGTGCTTTGGTTGTGGTGCCTGCGTCAACAACTGCTGTGGAGACAATTGACTCGGACAGTGACGAAGCTTCGAGGCCCCAAGTGCATATGGGGCATGGTGGAGCATCTGGCAGTTCCTCACTTCGCAAGGCAATGGTGCTGTGGCAAGGCAGCAAGAAAAGACGAACTTCAGCTGCTGCTGATACCGCTGTGCAGACTGAAGCAGCCCGACGTCAGCCTGACATGAAAGAGGCTGCAGCTGCGGAACGTGCTCAGCTGGTGCAGTTGGATGCGCCCGTGTTAGTCACGAAGCTGCTGCAAGCCACTACATCCTCCGAGAAGAAGACTGCACGTATTCATCACTTGCAAGCCAAAGTGAGGAACCTGCGCAAGCAGCTCGCCAATGCAAAGAAAAAAGCAGCGGCCAGCAAAGCATTGGCGATGAAAGCAAAGGAAGACATCAATGTCTTCGAAATGGAGAAGCTTGGCAAAAAGAAAGAAGGCAGGGCTGCCCGTTGGTCGCTGCAGTCCAAGCTGTCTATGGGCTTCCGCTGCAGTTTATCCACCATTGCCGCTTGTGAGTTTGGGTTGATTAGCATGATCGACATTTCGAAGCAAACGGTCCTGCGGGCAGAGCGCATCACAGGCGCCGCTGTGGTGACGTTAATGCAATCCTTCTCGAAGGAAGGCCTCGGTCTAGCACTGGCCGCTTCAGAGGTCGGCAACGGTGGCAGCGGTGGTGAGTGGGCCTTGTTCGGCATCGGATTTCGGAGCGACGCAACAAACGCCAGCGTCTGGCGCCGCAAGAAGTTGCATGTGCTGGAGGGCCGGGTGATGTATCTTTCCGATGCCGAGCAGCTGCGACTGGGCGATTTCGAAGCAGCAATGTCATCACGGACTTGTGTGCGACGTGATAGCATTTGGTTGCTTAGAGTTGAGAGTGGAGTCTGCGGAGTCCGCGATTGATAACTTGTTGATTCATTGATAACGACTTCACAGCTTCACAACAGGCTTCAGTGTGAGGCTAACGGCTAGCAGCAACAATAACGACGAGGATGAAAAGGACAGCAGCAGTGCCCAGAAACAAAACATCAACAGAAACAAAAAAGGCAACAGCAGCTCGGCGACGGGAAGCCTCGAGCGACGCCATTCAAGAACACCGTCTGCAACCGCCAGCAGCAATCAACAAGTTCACAATGCAACTGACGATGCGCCGAAACTGTGCTGATAGTACCGACCATGCCGGTGATGATGGTCGATGATGATGGCGAGCTGGTGAGGATGACGGACCACTGTCATGTGGATGATGTTCAAGATGGCAGCCTAGGTCGGACATTCAGACCGTGGACAGCAATGCGACCGCCATGGACGTACTGGCCTTGGTGCTCAAGCAGCTTGCAGCGTTGGGCGTTCCGGGCCCGCATGACATCGCAAGGTTGCAGAGGCCAGTGTTCAGTAGCCAGTATTCGATCATGTGAATGTGAACCCGCTGCGGTAGCGTGGGCCCCGTGTCCGTGTTGCGGTTGCTGTTGATGTTGTTGTTGTTGTTGTTGTTGTTGTTGTAGTTGTTGTTGTTGTTTTTGCTGGTGCTGGTGATGCTGACGTTGCGCTTCTTCTTATGATTGTTCTTGTTTGCGATCTTGCTATTGTTCTGGGTTCTGGATTCTTGCTATTTTTGTTTCTTCTCACGTTTCTTCTCCTGGTCGTTGCTGTTGTTGTTGTTGGTGGTGGTGGTGGTGGTGGTGTCGGCGTCGTTGTCGTTGTAGTTGTTGTTGTCGGCTTCGTTGTCGGGCCCTCTGTCTGCGTACTTGTCGTTGTCACAGTCTTTATTAGTTGTCGTCGTTGTCGCCGTCGATGTCGTCGTTGCCGTTCTGCGTGAAGAGGCGCGCGGTCAGAAGCCAGAAGCCCAAACCCAAGCTTAACACGGTTGGTCATTGGGAACTCAGGGAAGGACGCATTGATCCTCTTGCGTCCGTGTTCGTCATGGCGGACACCACAGACGCCGGTGCGGACCAGACGGCACGCCGTCGGCACATGATGTCAGCCGTGGCTGATCTCAACGGCTTCTTCTACCTTGATGTGAACTGTGCCCTCCATCAGTTTCATTTGATGGTCAAGGATAATCTTCAGATGCTGGATAATTTTCTAGGCTCGCTGCCTGCTTGCTTCAGTCAGGGTTTCGAAGCCTACACTTCAAATCTAGCGAAGTGTGCGAACTTTTGGCGCACGCACGTGTCGGATTTTATTGATTCGTGGGAGGCCATTCACGGGCCGAGCAAAGCCAGCGACAGAACAAAACCAGAGCCTGTTGCCTACAGACGCTTTCCGCTGCAAGTGATTTCAGGCAGATGGGGAAGTATCGAGAGCTGCGAATCCTTCTTTATAGAACGATCAAGGGAACTTCTCGAGCCAGTGTTCCTTTCAGTTCTCTCCAAATATATGAAAGCCGCCGGTCCAAAAAAGAAGCCGAAGAAGACGACGAAGGAATCGAAGCAAGATGGGGCTGTCGCAGCGGCTGCATCTTCGGCCGACGCGCCAGACCAAGAGAAACGCGGTGCTGACCTTCTAGATCAGGCAGAAGAGCGAGAGGCTTACCGCTTGAAACTGAGCAAGTGGGCGGATGGGGCGCTGAAGACCATCAAGAGCCCGCTGTTTTGGCTTTTCTTGCACGTTAGCAGTCAGGCCCGGTCTCCGTTGTCGCATTTCTTTGCATGGGCTCAAAAGAATTCCGACGAGCGTCTTATTCAGCAGCTGGTCACTGGCCGCGCGCAAGAGTTCCAGGAGGAGTTCGACAAATTGATACAGACGTTTTCCACTTGGTTTGCCGCCGCTGCGAAGGACGCAGGTGCGGAAGGGTTGCCAGCCGAATTGATGAACTTGGCACGTACTCTGGCCTTCAAACTTGTGGTTCATGCTTCGGCAAGCTTTTCCATGCGGGTGACGACGCCAATGCAGAGGCGCATGAAGCTGAATGTTTATAGATTGAAAGACGCCAGCCAGGATAGTCGGCCAGCCATTGCCCCGCATTGACTCTCATCCTCATCTTTTTGTTTGTAGTCTTTGTAGCACCTGAAACCCTTTTCAATTCTGGTGAGTTTGCTGTCGCCAGGTACCCTTACAAGTTGTTTTGGATGCTGAAGCGGCAACCTTTCTCCCGCTGCTCGGAACGGCAGCGCATCGCGCAAGAGATTTTGGATTCGGCTCCTGAGCTGTTGGAGTCAAACTGTCGCAAGCTCAAGTTTCTGTATTTGTCCGAGCTCCGGTTCGTCGCAAAGGAAGGCCGGTTTGACCAGAATGCCAGCGAACAAGGTTCAAGGCTTTATGCAGTCATTTCGACGATGTCCGAACTTCTGAAGGGAGACACCCAACTTGTTGAATCCATAAACTCGATCATCCGCCTCATCAGCACAAGATGTCCTTCCATTGATTTGGAAACCCTTTCTGCGCGTATTACTGTGAAGAAAGCGCTGACATCTGAGCTGCCTGCGTCTGGCAAAGGCAAAGGATATGCCAACAAGCGCTGGTCTGTGGTGTCATCGCATGCGAAGCCTCTGCTGATGGAGCTTACGCTAGCAGGAACTGCGTACAGACAGACGTTGGACAACGTTAAGCGATTCAGCCAGCCGATGCGAACAACCATGCCAGCTCTCGAGTCTACGCTCCAGAACACAGACCTATCAAGGGCTTTGCCGGATATCCGGCGCACTCCCCAAAAGCAGTGGGTGTCATCGCAAGCTACAAAGCTCAAAGCATCGATCGATGCTGCACGCCGCGAGTCAGCCAGATTGAAGGCTTTTGAGCCTTTGCGGCCAGCATGCTTGACAGTCTTCTGTATAAGATGTGCTGCAGACCACCAAAAGCAAGACTTTTACTTGCAGCTGTTGACGTACCGTTCGCTGCTGTTGGTTGTTCGTCTGAAGTGTGAAGCAGATGGTTCTTTGTGCCTGCCGCAGCACAGTGGGACTGCGACTTGGCGTAGGTACAATTGACCCATCAGTTTCGTATTGGTGGTCAGGGTAGTGTTTAAAACTTTTGCCGAAAGGACTAAAGAGATGCTCGTAGAACGGATTCCCATGCCCCACGAAGATGCAACCGCACCTTTCTCAGAAAGGAGATCTTCACCACTGTGGAACTGCTGACTGGCCTTCACTCTGGCTGCTTTGACCCCGTGGCGCCCCAAACTTTCGAAGTTTTCTGCATGAGCGCAATGCATGTGGATGGTGCACGCTTGATGTGCTTGGATGAGAAGAGCGTGAACGTTGGGCCTGCTGCTGGCCTGATCAGCTTGAGTTCAACCACAGCATCTCCACTGGGGCAGAAAGCCATCACCCACATCAAGATGGAGAAAGTTGCGAAAGCCACTGCTGGGCCCGTGGCAGCCGCGCCTGAGGGCATTGCAGATGCTGCAGGCCCGACTGACAGTGATTTGTTGAACTCCGGTTACGGCTTTGCTGAGGACGTTGAGAATTCCAACGCAGAAGCAGCCAAGATGGACGAGGAACTGGGAACAGAACTCATCGAGGCGGAGAAAGCTGCCCGCATTCGAAAAGCAGTTTCTGGCAAGAAGAAGCCCGGTGCACAGTTGTCTGGGACAGCACCTTCCACTGGCTTACAGTGCACAGATGTTTCCCTGCTTGATGAAGCGGTTCAGCTTGTGGAGAACATGCACTCCCACCACTCTTTGTCTCGCGATGAATTGGAGGAAGAAGCTGTCTTGATGTTGGTGCGTGCTGCACAGGCCAAGCCCCCTGCGTCAGGTCAGGCCGACGAAATGCAGCAGCTTTTAGTCACCACGCCTGAGCGCAAGCGCAGTCAGCAGCAGTACGCCTGCTTTGAAGACGATCAATCATTTCTTCAGCATATCCTTGGCTCAGGGGACCAGGACGCCGAGGATGCAGACGCATATGGATCGGATCCTGAAGAAGCCGGTGCCAGCGTGGCACAGCCCGTCGCTGCGCTCGCGGTGACATCGGAGGGTGCCTCCAGTCCTGTGAAAGTTGAGGCTGCGGCTGAGTGCCAACTCAAAAAAACGAAGCGAGCAGCTGCACTGTGGGCAAAATCCTTCTCTGCCACACTCGGAAGCATTCTGGACAGGAGCCGAAGAATGCAGCTCGGCTTGGGACACAACGAGGAGGTATCCTTGCTGGCCACACGGCCGTGTGACATGCTGGCGCAGGCATTCAGCGCTGATGGCGCGGACACATACGGCCAAGATTCGGCATTGGAGATTGTGTGCGTGAAATGGACTGATCCTGTCAGAAGAGAGGGCCGAACAGTTCGCATAGACGCCAAGAGCCGTGTGGTGTGGGCTCCCGCTCAGCTCTTCGGCAAAGCGGTGCCTACGCAATCTTTCCCAATGGACGAGTACACTGATCTGTTGCATGCCAGCGGTGCGCAGTCTCGCCGTTACAAGGGAAACTGCCGAGATGGCTTTCCAGAGCATGTGATAAGATTTGTGGCTTTTTGTCGCTTGATCTGCAGCTACGCTAATCAAGCACCTCGGTCCGTACCCAGAACACTTTCACTGTAGGTGTTAAGTGTATACTATATAGTTGTTTTGGTCCAAGTACGTTTTGGTCGAATCAGTATAATCTGCTGCGCAATTTGACTTTCATCAGTGTAGCCAGCTTCACTTGACACACACTTAGTTTCGAACCCTTATGAAGTTGCAGATGCAAGAGTCATTCAAGAGCAGCAGCCCGCTCCCCATCGTTTGTAGAAAGCATCCCTTCGCTTGTCTCAGGATCTCGATGAGTCAGCGCCGCCGCGTGCATCCAATGCGTTCGCCAAATGTGCGAAGTGTCGTCAGCCCTGCGGTAGTCATGCTTGCCCAGTCTGCTTTCAAATCTGGCATCCAGCGTGCGCTTCCTCAATGTCTTCTCACGTTAACAGAACAGTGCTTGATGTGCTGTCTGCAGAGCATGCCAGAGCATTCCGTGAATTACCAACATGGATGCATGTGTTCCTGGACACGCCTTCGAGCCTTGCTTCATCATCTTCTACAGATGCCCCCACCAACTGCAACAGGACAGATTGCAGCAATTGTCGAACTGTGTAGAAGACCTTAGTTATAGAGTGATGGCAGCTGTTCGTTGTAGCACGCAGTTTTGACAGTGCAATGCTGCGCTGTATTATCCGCTGTGGTTAGACACCGGGAGGACACATCTGCCGTGCGAGCTGTGTCAAGGGCTCCTATCGGAGCTCAGGCGGCTGGTGCCTCAGTTATACGAAATGCACGCCTGCAGGTCAGGTCTGTAGGCTGCCAGGGTTGCCAGGGGACAGAACCGTCAGAAGCCTTGTGTGGAGACAGCAACTGTGCAGTATGTCGGCGATGTATCGTGCTTCAGCGAATTCAACGTAGTGTTTTGGCTGCTTGCAAGCTGTGTAGACTTCGTTTTTGCTTGCAGCGTTTGCTGGCTGCCCGGCTTTAGCGCATTTCTCATCCCGATGGCCGGGAACCGTCCAGGTGCCTGAGTGACTTGTTATAGGTCGATCAGGTTTCCCTTGAAAGGCTTGTAGATTTGGGTTCGGTGTGAGACTTTACAGTTTAGGTGTGGTGCCAATGGTCTCAGGTTTTCACGTCTCAATTCAAGTATGAGGACTTATGTTTTTGTGTTTTGCGAGTGTCCAGAGTTGAGCGCCTGGAGACGATTTCGGGGTTTGTGTTTGGATGATTTGTCATTTTGTTCTGAATGCTTCAAGCATAGGAACCGCCTCCACCCAAAGCAAGCAAGCAAACCTCCGAGACTCTTTTGCAACTGCCGTGCTTTATTGTAGTTTGTGACACTGGGCCTTCCAAATGATAGGCGATCGAATATTGCCAAGTAGCCAAAAGACCCGAAGAGTCCCAAGGGCTCGCAGGTTTCTCAGCGGATTCGGCGGCACCGTCACGCTGCTATGAACCGTAGCGGCTGTAAACCGATACACGGCACCCTATACAAACCCGTAAACCTTCCAACCCGGTGCGTCCACTTGCCAGGTGCGAGGAGGTGTCGTGACAACTTCAGCTCCGATTCTGAGTTTGACTTTGACAGGGTCTCTCCTCCTGCGGCTCCTGTGCTTCCCAAAGCCAAAGGCCCGAGCCGAACCTTAATCCGTGAAGACCTTAAACCCAAACCCCTAAAGGCCAAAACCTAATCGCTAACCCGTAAACCCTAAATTGTGGCTCTAGACACCCGCGTCCGGCGCTGCCACTTCCCAGGCGGTGCAAAGCGGGCAAGGAGGTGTCGTGACAATTTCAGCTCCGATTCCGAATTTGACTTCGACAAGGTCTTCGCCTCACCCACAGGCGACCCCGAGCTTCCCGGCGAGACGGAGCAGACGGAAGTTTCGGCACGAGGCAGACCAGGCGTGGCATGTTACCATAACATGTGGCGCTTGTTGGCGCGTTGTGAGCTTGCAGCTAGCCGCTGCAATCCGTGCTTGGCCAGATCCTGTTGCTGACAGGAGCAGGTGATCAGGAGATCCTGCACGTGCCTGAGCGCGTGGTTGCAGCCTCCAGCTCTGTGCCATCATCCTCGACCCCAGCTCCGAAGGAGAAGGTACGGCCCGTGCCGAGTACAGCTTCGGCTTCCCCAGCATCGCAGCACGAGGTGAAGACGTCGTGTGACAGAGGGGACTGGAAGCCCCGGACCGACAGTAGGCGAGACAGCTGAAACAGCCTTTGCTTTTGGTGTCGCATCACGCGGATGTCATGTCTCCGCGCTGTTTTCCTGTGCAGAAACTGCAAAGTTTTGAAGTAGTGTGCGTCCGCAAAACATACAGCTGCGACAAGACTCAGGCTGAAGTGCAAACGCCGGCAATATTGCAATTAAGCTTAGCGCAGGCAAACTGACATATCGAGGCTATAGTACAACTGTTTCCTTTGCCCGTCGCCGAGGCTTTCCTGAACATCGTCGTGGCAGCTGGCAAGGCCGGCAAGATCAAAGGGTTGGAGGACTTTTCCTCGTGGGTTCACAAAGTAATGCTGTCGGGATCTTTGCATAGTCTGAGTTTCGCGGTTGGGGATTGTTTAAGCTCTGGGTGCAGCGTCGGTGCTCGGGGTACACACTTGAAGTTGGCAGCAATGCAATGTCCAGGTGCATACACATTGTGGATGTGGGGTCGGGGCTGTGATGCGTGAGGGAGAGTGCGAAGCCACAGTAGCACGCGAGTAGCGGCAGCGGCAGCGGCAGCGGCGGAAGCAGCAGAAGCGACAGGAAGCAGCTGTGGCAAGCGCCGCAGAAGACCATTAGCAGTAACAACCAGCAGCAATAACAACAAGAGCAACAGTAAGTAACTGCAAATAGCGACAGCCATCGGCATAGCAACAGCAATAGCAACAGCAAGCGACAGGAATAATTGAATAACGGCACAATATCAATAGCAACATAAATAACACAATGGCAACAGCGATTGCAATCGAACAACAACAACAACAACGACAACAACAACGACAACGACAACGACAACGACAACGACAACGACAACGACAACGACAACGACAACGACGACAACAACAACAACAAAGACAACAACAACAACA